CTTTAACTGGATTCAAAATGGAAAAAACGAAATGCGACCACACATGGCTATGTGTAATATTATAGTGTTAATGTCTTCAATTATTATTCTTGAATAATAACAATAATAATAATAATAAAGACCTTCTATGAGAGCAGGTTTGTCCAAACTTTTGTCTGGTAGCGTACTTTGAGAAACACACACGCAGAAGGTAGAATAACACACAAACTAACAAGGGGTAATGAGAAATAGGTGGGACTAATTAACCATCATGACCATGTAAGTAAAGTCAAGGGGACAACACGGCAGGCGGTGTACAGATTATGCAGGGTAACAAAGGACAGAATTAGGGCAGATGTGACAAAGTCCTCTTAAGACGTGGTGACGCCTGCTGGAAGCCCGGAGTTGCAGGAACATCTGTGTGACTTCAGTGCTGAAGTCACACAGATGTTCCTGCATAGCTTCACTATGCTCAGAAAAATGCACAAAATGGGTCGATTCATTAGTCTTGGGTTGGATTTAAACTTTAAATAAATAGCCATGGTCTCAGGACATTTCTGTTCCTTTTCTTTCCTGTTCTCCATGATCAGGTAGGAAAACTTAATCTCTCTCTCTCTCCCTTTATGCTACATTTAAAGGTGCATTGCGTAAGTCTTTGTTGTTGTTGTTGTTGTTATAAGGTTAGGTGGATTTGATATTTAAATGATTTTATTTACTCCTTGAGCTCGCCTCCTTCATTCCCACCCATGTTCATGAAACACCATCCCCAGGATCTACGGTGGCCTGTAGTGTCTATAAAATGACTCACAGGAGACAAGTATTCCAGACCAGAAGTCAGTTTTCCCAAATTTTCTCCGAGATGTAATACACTTTTGCTAACTATGTTCCGCTTATCTTCCAGGTTATTTGTACAAGTAAGGAATAAAAAAAATCAAATATTGCTCCTTTAATGTGTCTGCTATAAAATATTCACGTACACAGCTCGGATCAGAGCTGTACACAGTGCATTACAGGGCTGCAGCATCATCTCCGGAACTGGGACAGGTCTCCTAAAGGTCACCCAACACGTCAAGGGCTGATACCTGTGTATGTTGGCAGGTTAGGGATCTTATATGCACCCAAAGTATCACTGTGGTTGCTTCAGGGCTGGGAAAATAGAGTTCTTACACACACACATGCACGTTTGATCTCCTGATGGCCTACTTGGCGCAGGCTGGCTGAGGCTCACGAGCAGGTTCTTGAGAAACAGCAGTTCAGACATAAGAACTGCTAGGACCAATGGCCAGAATACCACATCCAAGCACCTTCTGCAGTATGGAAGCCTGGACAGACTGAGGCTAGGCTAAAAGAAAATCCAACCAACAAACAAACCCTTTTACAGATCCGGTCCTGTTTGTCCATTTAATGAGCAGGTCTATTTCTGCACTTCATGCTAAGCTACAACTGTGTGAGTGTAATCACCGAAATAAGGATGTGTGATGAATGTGAATCAATCGGTTGTATAGCAGATGTGTTCAGTGGGCATGACTGGGGAAATTCCATTGAGTGAGAAGCATGGGTCAACCCAGTGGGCTGGACCTGACTTTTTTTTTTTTTTCTGGTAATTGTAGTTGTTTTGCAAATGTTGCAGGTGGTATGATGGCTATCAGCGCATCAGATGACAAGCCAAGATTATCTGATAAGTCACATGCTGTCACTGCGCCGCCATCCGTGACGGGTCTCGGTATCCTAAAGTGCTGAAGTATTCTGTAACATGCACATACGCTGCTCATGGTTTATAATGGGAAATATAAAAAAGCCCATGGCTGGGGTCAAAAAGGCATACATTCAAGCAGGGACACATACAGTACTTTGGTACACACCCATCAGAACTAAAGGGTATAAATTCTCAGACCAGCAAGGGCTAATGAGATGTGGGTGATGTTAATTAACTAGCATGATAACAGGAAACACAGACCACATAAGGAAGGTGGATGGGAAAAAAACAGGGCACAGATTAAGGTAAGTGAAGACGTACAGACACACTGTAAACACTAATATATAATTAGATCTAAAATAATAGTCTAGCACTGTCATGTCTCAGTTCCACTGTCACTAATATCATATCTCCAGTAAAACATATACATATAATCTTGACAGGATATCATGTGAGCTATAGTGATGTGTGTGTGAGAGTGAGAGTGAGAAAGAGAGCGAGAGAGACATGCTTTGTTGTCGATAAATACAACACCTGTGCACTCTAAGAGGAACTTGCATCTACGAAGCCGTTCCATGTCTGCTGTCATGTTACCTGTTTCTCTTCATCGCAGAACTGTAAAGATCTCTGTAATCACTTCCTGCAACTTTTTGCATTCTGTAAAATGAAACCAGTTTGCTGAAGCAGCACAGGATATACTCAGTGTGGGCAGGGGAGCTGGAGGAGCTTTTGACACATATATATGAGGTTGATTTGCTTAAAGCAACACATCACATCTTGCTTTTGAACATGACTTTGCTATTGCCTGTCTTAAAAACGACGCTTTTAACTCTGTTTTGTTGGGCCGATTTTCTTGATGTGTACTATATGATAATGTATTTAAGCTCCACTAGATATTTTAAGGAGTGGTTTACTTAACTAGCAAATTTACTTTTCGTATTTTAGTTTTACTTTTAGTATTCAGTGCCCCTAGTCTTTAGATTAGATGCACTATAAGGCCAAAAGTATGTGGACACCTGACCATCACACCCATATGTGCCTGTTGAACATCTCATTCCAGATTCAGTCCCTCCTTTGCTGTTATAATAAGCTCCACTCTTCTGGGAAGGCTTTCCACTAGAGTTTGGAGCATGACTGTGGGGATTTGTGTTCATTCAGCTACAAGAGCATTAGTGAGATCAGGCGCTGATGTTGGTGAGGAGGTCTGGGGTGCAGTCGCTGTTCCAGTTCATCCCAAAGGTGTTCAGTGGGGTTGAGGTCAGGGCTCTGTGCAGGACACTCGAGTTCTTCCACTCCAACCTTCACACACCATGTCTTCATGGAGCTCGCTTTGTGCACTTTGTGAGCTTCCAACTCTGTGGCAACAGTTTGGGGAGGAACCACATTCATTTGGCCATACAGTGTACCATGTAGTCCAAATAAATGCAGTCAAACCCTGCTCTGAACAGTATGGCTCAACTTGACCTGCCACCCTTCAAGACAGGAGGAAGACAAACATCGGGAGGTATATCTGTCCTGACAACCAGGCAGTGAAATGAACTTCTCCTGGCTTCCTAAAACAGCCAAGTCTTTATCTGTTGTCTTTCAAATGCAGACTCCTCAGAATAAAGCAACTCAGTTTCACAGAAAAGATGTTCATATGCAACATATTTGCAGCACCTTCTATATATACTTGCAGCCTGACTGTGTTTGTGGAGAAGAGGAGATCTGAGCCCAGTAAGTCTAATCATATGTATGTCGTGAAACACACAAACTTTAAATGGGCTGTGCTCAATAGGTTTAGTTTAGTTTAGTTTAATTTCGTCTCGTTTATTAAAGACACATTCTGATGTGCAATGACTGTTCATGACTGAATTAAGCAGAATATATAATCAGAAGGATTAAAGCAAATGGATGGATAAATAACTAAATGTTTATGCGTACAGATATTTAATAAACTAAGCAAACATGAAGTAATCAAGTACACAGAAAGTAAAAGGCATTACAGAACAATAAAAAGTCGAATGCCACAGGGAGTGGTGGAATTTCTCAGCCTGGTTTTGAATGCTAGCGTGAAAGCTGCGAGTTTTTCTGCAGAAGTTGACCTGTTCTCTACCTCTTACTAAGTGGGAGGAGATTATGGAGAGAATGGTTAGAGTGATGCATGACCTTTATCAGTTTTACCGTTGCCTGCTTCCTCCATGTCTGTAAGTCCAGAAGATATAGAGAGATCATTTGAAACCTTATTATTATTATTATATATATATTTTTGCACCTTGTCCATTGCAACTCGCTGTTTCTCTGCACAGCCCACAAGCAGTACACTCCCAGATACAGAATTGTATACATGAACAAAGATATTTAACAGGGACCCCATTTCTAGCCATAACAGTAAAGAAGTGCAATCGCTTTTTCACCGCCTCCTCAATGGGAACATTTCCACTAAGATGATTGTCCAGATGGAAGCCCAGGCATTTTGTCGAGGTTGCAGCTGACACAGTATGTCTATCAAGGATTAAATGGGCTGGTTAGGAAGGGTCTTTAGAAAAGCACACTCTGATCTCAACTGACTTCTTGCCACTGAGATCCATGTTGCTGGCTGCAGCATATCGTTACATTTCCATGGAGCTGTCATGTCCAGCGTCCGAGATCTTGAGACACAGCATGAGACAGCCCTATGTCATGAGCGTACTGTATGTTGAGTGTGTCCTGCAACAGGACTGACCCTGTGGATATATGCAGCAAGAATCGATAGGGAGATAACACCTTCCTGTGGTACACCGGATGTGATTTCGCTCCATAAACTGTGTGTATGTTAATAAAAGAGGTAAATAATATTACATATCAGTCTTATTCAAATTGCATAGTAGATGTGGGCTTGGTTAGAAAATATTGGTGCAGAACGTGACCTACAGAGTGTTCAGGTGAAAGTTTGATACAGCATGCTTGAGCCAGAACGTTGATATTCAACGTACAAGGTGCTGCAAAGGTTGGACTTAAGACTCTTAAAACTCTTCAACAAATGAACACTAATCATGCATTAAAAAAAAAAAAAAAACACTGGTTCATTTTTCTGGCAGCACCTTACCATGTTGGTATTTTTACATAAAGATTATGAAAATAATAAAGAGCACTTGTCTAAATCGCTCCTCCGAATCCTGTAAATGTGCAGTGTGTATAGAGAGAAAAGAGGAAGACACACATCGGAAGGTATCTCTGTAGTGAAATGAACTACTATTGGCTTTTTAAAACAGCCAAGTCTTTATCTGTTTTCTTTCAAATGCAGACTCCTCAGACTAAATCAACCCAGTTTCACAGGAAAAAAACCTTCGCATGCAACTTACTGGGAAGTGGTAGTTCAGTGGTTATGAAGTTGGACTTCTGATCGGAAGCTCGAGAGTTCGACTCCCACCAGTGCCAAGCTGCCCCTGCTGGGCCCTCGAGCAAGGCCCCTAACCCTCAGGCGTGTAAATTAGATAATTGTAAGTTGCCCTGGATAAGGGCGTCTGCCAAATGCCGTAAATGTAAACATATTTGCAGCACCTTCTATACGTACTTGCAGCCTGACTGTGTTTGCGGAGAAGAGGAGATGTTTCTGAGCCCAGTAAATTTAATCATATGTCCTGAAAAGCACAAATGTTACACATGAAGTGGGCTGTGCTCAATAAGTTTAGTTTAATTTCAGTTATTAAAGACACATTCTGACGTGCAGTCTCATGACTGAATTAAGCAGAATATATAATCAGAAGAACTAAAACACAGTTAAAACAAACAGCACGATAGCATTAATACACAAGACAGTGTAGGGAACAGCACGGCACACACTGATGACATACGGGGTCCTCTGTGAAAATACGCAACACTGTAGTTTGATGTGTTTTCTCGAACGCAAAAAGGTTTTTTTTTAACGATTTGTTTCTGCCCTCGAGAGAATATCAACACAGATTCTAAATGATTAGAATTAGAGGCTCTTGTGGAAGGATATTAGTCCACTCCTTCACACACAACATTTTAATATCCTTTATGCTTTTTTTTTTTTTTTGCTTTGTGCATGCAAACCACAGGTTCGGCTCAGACCACAGGTTCAAATCTGAAGACTTTGTTTGTTTTTGTTTGTTTCTTTAACCATTTCTATGGACGTCCATGGAAGAACGTCCTGACACAGGCAAACAGGCTTCGGGTTGAAATGTTCTGATACGTACTAAGAATTCATGACGCCATTAATCATGAACCACTAAGCAGAAAAACAGCCCTAAAGCATCACTGAGCCCCCTCCGTGTTTTTCAGTGGGCTATCGGTTTTGTTTGCAGTCTCCTTTTTTTTTTTTTGTTGTCCAACATGCACCAACATGCTGATGGTGTGCACGAGCAAAACTATTCGATTTTGATTTCATCTGACCACAAAGCATGACGCCATGTAGTTCTAATGACACTTGGTAAAGTTTATGTGCTGCATTGTGTGACGAGCGCTCAGGAAGGGCGGCTTACTTGCAGCACGAGAACAGCTTGCTGTTATGAAAGTGGCATTTAAAAGATGATTTTTTTGATCCTTTTTTCTTTTTCCTTCTTCGCTCTGTAGGAGAACAGTGCACAATTGTTTTCGAATTGTCTATTTTATTACTTTTTATTATAGTTCTTATTACGCACGGTATTTCTAACATCTTATGCATATAAAGAAAACAGAGGAGTAAACAAAAGCATATGGAAAGACAAAAGTGGTAAATGAGTTCGTATCTTTTAAAGCTGCAGGATGTAAGATTTATTTTTTTTTACTCTGTAGTATGAAAACTGTTACAAGCCAGTCATGAAACGACATTTTGCAATGTGACTTGTGCTGCTTTCTTCTCCACTGTACAGATTGAGCTCACGGTTGTGAGAAGGAAGTAGGAAGATTCATGGCTGCGTCCCAAACCTGATTCTATTAACTAATAATTTGCCTAAATTGTACTGATACCATTGGGGTACTGACATACTACTTTTCAAGATAGTATGTGGCTTAGGACATGGCCCAAATGTTTAAGACGCAGGGCATGTAATCAGTATTGCAAGTGTCTTATAAGGATAAAAAAAAAAAGTATTGTGCATCAACATAGAAGGTGTTTGTGTGCATCACTGACTGATTCGCATGCCTTGATCTACTGTTCAAACAGTATACAACACTGTACTTGTGCATAAACGTACTATTGTTGACGCCGTCCACCCTGCAAATGGTCTATTCGAAAAAGCCAACAGCAGGAAGGAGTCTTCAGTGTCAGCTCTTTGTAACAGTCAGAGATAAAAGCTGTAACGTTAAGTTGTAAACATGGAAAAGTCTTCAAAACTTCAAGAGAGAGAGAAAAGAAGAGGCTGGTAAGGAAACGATTGTATAGCTGATATACATGATAACAGGAAGTAACTTGTTTCGTTATTACTATAAACATACAAAAGTGCATTGTGTTGTTCGTTTAATAAAAAGGTCATCAAACTCGATTGGCTTGTTAATTGTTTATTCAATTGTGTCACAAGAGGTTTAAAATACTTTGGGACGTGACGTCGTTGGAAAATAATCAACGTCTGGCCACATCACAGCACACCATGGTTATTTTCCTGTAACAGCATGACCTTTCCTTCTTTTGCAGATGTCCACTCACGCTATGTTTAGCTCCTGTTTTTTTTTTTAACAGCATATTTCATTGACAAGTCACACAATTACTTATTAATCACGGCAGATCTTTGTAACTGTAATATCGTGTGTAAGAGATTGTAGGTAATAAAAGAACAGGAACCGTTTCACAACCTGGAGCCTGTTTAAAACGATGAGGTCATATGTCATCCTGTTCTGCAAATAACTGCTAAAGCTGAGACATCCGTAAGCTGCAGTCTTTAAAAAAGACAACTATAAAATCTTATATGGTATTATAATCAGTTTCCGACAATAACTGCTTTTTTTTTTCTTCACAAGTTTAAGAGACGTAAATACCAAAGTTCTGACTGTGAAGCTAAGAAGCTGTAGTTCTCATATGAATCTGCCTCTTTTTGTGACTTCCTCAAACAAGGCGGGAAACCAAAAAAAAAAAAAAAAAAAGGGGAGAAAAAAACAAGTGAGGAAGTGGTATCTTGCAGCATATTTTACAAGGGACTAGATAATGAGTTCATAAGACTTGTGTACAGTCCTTTAAAAGGGACTGAATTTGAAACCCTGCAGCAGATAATCTTGAATATGAATATGAATTATCTTACGTTGTACATTATACCACATGATATTAGAGATCGAACCACTTACCATCAACCATTTGTACACGTTTGAGAGAGAGAGAGAGAGAGAGAGAGAGAGAGAGAGACAAAACCTGTGTTCTAGATAACTGAAATAAACAGAATCTCAAGAAATGTTCAGATATTATTTAAAACCCCTCGTGCATGTACACGACAGCACTGTATAAAATGCTGGGGTTAAAGGTAACCCAACTGGAGTCATTTCTGTAACCCAGTGCTGTGCCGATGTTTAAAAAGAACGCAGGTTTGGTTAGTGTGACCACACACACTGCTGTGTGCTCTTTGTAAAACCCAACACACTACTCACACATTTGTTCATCATTACCTAGTCACTAGTCTTTTTACACTTATAACTAGGTTGTTCAGGCAATTTCTGATTATTTATGCCCTAAATAGCAGGTCTGAATACAAGCTTGTTTTGCTTTTCTGGAACACATTTGCTGTTTGTTGTTGTAAATTTAAAAAAAAAAAAAAAAAAAAAAAAAAAAAGTTGTAAATTTATTGTAAGAAATGTAACTTTTGCAAAGAGTACAGCTAGTTCACGACAATGACCAAGTTAATAATCCAGATATTTTTTTACACCAAAAACATTTCATTTAGAGTTTTTGTTATTTGTTTAACACATATTTAAGGGCTATATACTATGTAGATGTACTGTATACTTATATATAAAGTACTTTCTTTGAGGTATATATACCAAACAAAAAAAACCCACTATACTATGCATGCTATAATAACAATCAAATGATAAAATGCATACATTACTAAGAAAGAACAAGGCAATACATTTGTCTCTGTGAAAGATCTCAGTGAGAAGACTAGCACTGATAAGGAGCGTCTTCAGTTCTAACTGATGATGACAAAATTCCCACCATGTCAGGATGGCGTTGTAGGTTTGGTAGATGCTGCTGCAGACCTACCCCTTTGTTCAGACTACGAATTAACAGCCAACATTGAAGCATGTGTACATCACTGTCCTCCAAGGAGTGTCCCTTGTCCTTTAGCTATAGGTAGATAAATAGCTAGGTCCTGACTCGAGGAATTATTTGATAGATAACATCATGTTTATCTTCTATGTACAAACCCCTTGTACAAGATGGTGGCTGTCTGTTTAGCAAGCTTGCTAACTCCTAAAACTAATTAACCTTGCCTTTGTATGTAGCTAGCTATTGCTGCCTTTAATGGTGATGGACAAGATAAGTGTTATGCTAGCTGTCTAACATTACCCTGCTAAAAAAAAAAAGGGCTGATAGAAGGGTTTCTGAATCACCGCTACGAATGCTACACTGTAGACAAGTTGTTGTTTTTGTTTAAATAACAGTGTACATGGTAAATGGTTGAAATTATTTAAAATGTAGCCTTGATGTTAGCGGTAATTGTTAGCTGGTAAAGATAAAAGGTATATCACATCGACTAGCCCAGCAGTTGGTCAGATTAAGTTGGATTTTTCATTAAAGTAGATACCAAACTCAGGTAAATTCAAGTAACGTCGCTAGCTAATAATAAACTGTCAAATCAATGCTTATTGCTACTATAAGCAGTCAGAAAACAAGTTACCTGACTAGCTAACCAGTCCTATTAGAAAGGAAAAGAGGATAACGTTAGCTAGCTGATGGTGTTAGCCTAGCTGATGGTGTTAGCCTAGCTATGATTTTCTCTCAGCCATTTGCTATCTCATAAGATTTGTACTGTATTCAAAACTGACCTAAATACTAGGTGGTCATCATAGTCCAAACAGTTATAAATAAATAACCCAGCACTGTCTTTTTTAAAGTAAGTATAAGCATTAGGAATTTAGCAGCTCTTTTAATTCACAATCCCACCCAAAATGCTTTAATAATTATAGAAATTGTTTTTCCACTTTAGGAGTGAGGCAGTAAATTAGCATGACTGACCTCTGAATACTAAGTTTTGTTTTTTTTTGTATTTTTTTTGTATTTGAAGGTTTTTTTTTTTTTTTTTTAAATCATCTAAGGAGACTGCAGTATTCAGACTTTCTCTAACATAATACAAGGGTATCACGTCTGGATAGTGAAAGTGAGGACGTTAATTGTAGAAATGCATATTGTTCTTACAGCGTTGTATCTTAGCTTCAACAAATGAGGCAGAAGTGCAAAGTGAGAGATTGTGGCGTAGCTGAAATTATAACTTCCTGTTAAGACGCCCTTA